AGAAGTGAGGCCAGGGTGGGTGGTTTGGGGGGGTGGGTGTTCCCAAGGGCTGCTTCACCCTGTTTTTGACATGAGGCTTCCTGGTTGTGGGGCAGAGCACAGGGACTGGGGGAGGGTGGTGCTGAAGGACAGGGTGATTAGCAGTGTGCAAACAGCCTCCCCCTGCACTGCCTTGCTCTATGCCTGCCATGGCACCCCCTTATCAGCTCCTGCACTGGGTACAGGGCTGCACCAAGGCACTGCCATGGCCCATTGGGGTCTGGCATCTCCCTGGCACCGTCCAGCACGCTGGTGGCAGTGGGATGGGCACAGGCACCTGCTTCCCCACCCTGAGTGACTCAGCCCTGGGGACATGGGTTTTAGCCCTGCCCCACAGCAAGGTGTGGGGGAAAGCTGCCAGAAAATAGCCTTATCCTTCCTGGACAGGTGAATGCCCCAATTCCACCATAAACTGTTGTCACCTCGTGGGTGATGTCAGGGCTTTTATGCCTCTTTTCCCTCTCAATGGATGTAGGAGCCGCCTGGAGCCTGGCACTGCCCAAGGCCCTTCCCGGAGGTGTTGTGGTGCCCAGGAGCTGGTTGGTACAGAACCAGGCACCTCTGGGCACACCTGGCCATGTCCTCCTCTGCTTCCTCTTAGCGGGGCTGCCTTGCAAAGCTGGCTCCTGGCACACACCCTCCCACCATCACCCCCGTGGGGTGGAGCAGTTTTGGGGGTGATGTCTGACCAGCTGATGGCTTTTGTCTTCCAACCTCCTCCTGGCCCTGGGGTTTCGGTGGGGCAGGACAGGCTGTTTCTGTGGCACTGAGTTTTGTCAATAACCCTGCAACCACTGGCTTTGTTCCTTCCCTCCACCTGCTGGGAAAACTCGAAGGACCAGTTTCTCCTCCCGGATATGATTCCTCCCAGTTGCCCTTCGCAGCTCTTGGCTGCCCTGGCAGCTGAAAGCGCAGCAGTGGAGGGTAAGCCAGACTGGCACAGCCTCCCCTGTGCCCCCCCTCTGCCCCTGCTCTCTGCTTCCCACTGCCCAAGCACCATTGGAGCTTTTGGGCTCTCCAGAGGAGATCCCATCCCATCACCAGCTTCAGGACACATCCCAGTCCACCAACCCATGTGGGTGCCACCAGGCATCTCTGCACCCTGTACCCTGCACCCCTTAGACTTGTCTGGTTCTCCCTGACTGGCGCCCCGAGGTGCCTGGCAGCACCCCAGAAGCTGACAGTTGTGCCATGGAAGCATGAGTTCCAAAGGTCCTCAAGGACACCTGGTAGCAAACATGAACTTCCTTATTGCCTCTCAGAAGATGTCAGGAGATGCCCGAACAGCTGGTGTACCTGGGTGTGTGCCAGAGTGGGGGCTCTTCTTTTCCACCTGCAACAGAGGGTGAGAGAGGGCAGGAGGGTAAAGTCCCCCTGCAGGGATGTTGGGCAAGCAGTCAGTGCCCTGTGCCTGCCAAAGCCTGGTTACTGCTGTTCCCAGCCATGCACCAGCTGGTGCTCCCTGGTCCTTAGGTTGTCCCCCCTGGCCATATGGGGAAGGCAGAAGAGCTGCCTTTCACACCCCAGAAGCCCCATGGGGTGCCTGTGCACCCGTTGCCCTGCCATGTTGGGTGCCACACATGGGCCAAAGTCCCAGGAGATTTGTAGGGTGAATTCTCCACTGGCATGTGCCAAACCCTGAGTGGCACAGGGATCTGTGCTGGCGGGGGATAGGCAGTGCTCAGCACTCAGTGATTCAGGAAAGGAGCCATCCCCTCCTTCCTGGGAATTAGCGTTGATGGGGACAGGTACGTGAGAGGAAGGAGGAATTGCACCTCTCTGTGTTTGTGTTGATAAAAGAAGTAAATTAAGAAGCAAAAGCAAACTTATCTGGCACCAGCTACCCAAGGAGTGCCCTCTGTGGGGAATTTCCCCTGCCTGCATAACAGCCTGGCCAGGATGTTCCCGGATTAGGGAGGAGAGGACATCCTCGAAGGGCATGGACTGGCCCAGGGGAAGAAGTGACGCAATGCACACTTTTCCTGGCATAGCCTTACTCCCTGGGTCCCCTTCTCCTCTTCTTCCTCCATGCCTCAGAGATAAACCCTCCCTGGTGCTGACCCAACCCAAAGCGTGCTTTCTAGGCAGCTCCCTGCCCTGATTATTTGTGAGGGTATCAGAGGAGGCGATGGAAGGGCTGTTCAAAAGGCAGCAGGCAGGAGCTGACATCGAACCTGGGGTGTTAATCATTAATTCTGTGCTGGGCAGGACATGGGACAATAACCATCATGGGACAATAACCATCACGGCAACAACTCTGGGTACCCAGTTGAAGATTAATTCACTGCCAGCCTTGGGCGTGGGCACAGGAGGTGGCAGTCCTGTGTCAGGAGGCACAGCAGGGAACAGGGACAGGGATGGGCTGGGTGCAGCAGAAGGACCACCCCCACTCAGCTGGGATCAAGGGGAGAAGCCAAGGAGAGCCCCTTCCTGGGAGCAGTTTGGGCACCTTGGCATTGCAGGACTTTTTATGAAGCAGAGGGTGCTGAAAATTTAGGATCAGTTCCCTGAGCTGGGATGCAAGTGGCTTGGGCATAGCATCATTGACTCCCTCCCACACAGGGAAGGGGATGGGGTCAGCACACCCAGCATCCCTCTAGTGCTGAGATCTCTCCATCCTAGAGATCCTCTGGATCTGTTATCCTGGAAGAGTGGCTGGAGGGTGTTTCCTTCTGTCTGTGGGGCACAGAGGGACTGATGTGCCATGGGAAGAGTCAGCCTGGAGCTTGTCTCCCACCTACCAGCCCATCATCGGAACACAGGGATTCCCTGCTCCCACAGCAGAGAGATGTCTGGCAAAAAAACATAATGCATAAAAATAAACACCACCAGAAATTATGCAAAACTCCCCACCCCCCACAAGCTCTGGAAAGGTCAAGTTTCATGCCAAAGCTATTTTGCTTTTGTTTAATTATCAGCCAGCTCCTGGGAGGTGGAGCAGCCCAGACAGGTTCTCCTTTGTAGGGCTGCACAAAGCCAGGGAGGCCGGGCTGGGGGGGCTGCAGGGGGCTGGGTGAGACCTGGGAACCACAGCTCGGGCAGCACGAGCTAAAGCTCAGGGGGCTGAGCTCTGGGAACCAGGGGTCAGGCTTCCCAGAGAGGGCAGGTGACAGGCCAGTCCCACAGACAGCTCCTGGCCAGCCGGGCACGCTCCAGCACCAGCAGGCTGTGCTAGGAAGGAAGGGAGACCCCAAAAAGAGGACATAATGGGGAGCGACCCGGCTCATCTAACAAGCTCTCAGGGACTGAGCCCAGGGCAATGAGCCTTGGCATCACCATCACCTGGGGGTGATGAGCTGAGGCTCTCCATCAGCCTGGCACAGGCACTCCCCCTTCAGAGGGGGAGTTTCTAGCACCGAGACTCCAGTTCAGGAGGGGAGGCCCCTATGAACACAGCAGTTTGCACACACTGGCTCCTCGAGGTGGGCAAGATATGGTGGGTGTCAGACCCGAGCCCCCATCACTCTGCAGGGCTCTGTCCTAGGGCAGACCCAGCAGCTTGATCCCCTTGCCTGTGGTGCCCTGGCAGCAGCTCAGCACCAAAGGGTTTGGGCAGGAGGTAGAGGGGAACGCTGCCAGGAGGTGAGAGACCCTCCAGCATCACCAAGCCAAGCCCCTGGGGCCAGGCAAAAAACTTCTGGCAAGGGCTGTGCCCCGACCCGAAAGCTGTGCCTGGTCCTGAGGAAGGGGTGGCAGCCCAGCCTGGCTGCAGGGATCAGGCACGGGAGCAGGAGGCAGCCAGTCTGGGATGCAGGTTGCAGTTGGGCCATGCTGGTGGCTGACACTCTCCCACTGCCATTTCATTTGGGTTCTGTAGTCTCTGCCCCAAAAATGGGTACATCCCCAGTCGTCCCAAGGCTACCTGCCCCATGGGAGCAGAAATGTGGAATGGCCACGAGGGTGATGAGTCATAGTTCTCAGGGGATCAGTAGCTGGAGGTGTTGAGGGAAACAAGGGGGCTGGTCACGCCAAGCAGTCGCCAGGCAGCTCGTCAGAGTTTCCATAATGAAGATTAAAGTGATAAAGCTTGAGGAGGGAACAGCTCATAAACCTGTGCCAGCCATGCTGGCACCGCATGGCACTGCACGGAGGACCTCTGCTGGCACAGGCCCAGGGCCACCGTTAGCCCACGGCCAGGCTGCACTGCACAGGGGACAGGAGTCTGTCCTTTCCAGCCCCAGCCCACACATGAGGCCAGGCAATGGAACACACGAGGCTCAACAGCTTTGCAACGTTTACTCCTGAAAAAATAATTTGATTCAGAAAGCGGCAAACCCTGGCGATGCCACACACCCAGCCCTGCCACGGCTGCCACCCCGGAGCCTTGCTGGGGGAATGGGGAGGAATGGAACAGCACCCAGCAGGCCCAGCGAGGTGTGCAGAGAAGGGAGATGATGCCCACCAGTCAAATCCTGCTGTCACTGACAGCAGGGACCCACAGCCCCCTGGTCACTGCAGGGTTGGCACCAGAGGAGAGGGGAACTTGTGTTTAGCCATTCTCTACCCCAAGGACCACCCTCCCCAGCCCCAAGAAGAGCTGGGAGGAAGCCAAGCCTGAGCCCTGCCAGAGAAGGGAAAGGGGGTTCCTTTATTTTGAGGGGGAAGAGAAACTAGGCCTTGGGATGCTAAGGAAAGGGTAATAGTGAGCCATGGAAGTTTTTCCAAAGCAGGGCATGGGGAGCGAGCTACGTTCCCCAAAAAGAAGCCAAGTCCCTTTTCCATCACTCTGAAAAGACCTTTTACGCTGAGGGTCAGCACAGGGGCCACCTGCCCACTGGCTGCCAGACTGGAGTCCCTGTGTTGAGGAGGGCAGAGGAGGGCAGAGTGAAGCCCAGACTGGTGCTGCAGGCTCTGGGATGTCACCCTGCACACTCTTGTTCCCCTCCTGCATTCAACCCGTTCCTGCTGCCAGGGCAGGCATGCAAGGACCAGAAGGGTCAGAGTCCCTGCAGTCACACTAGAGCTACCTTGGCCAAAGAGATTTTCCTGGTTTGCAACTTTTCCTTCCTATTGTGGGCAAGGGAGGAAGGCAGGGAACAGAGGATGGGGCCAGGGGGACAAGAGACAAACATTCCACGACTGCTCCTGCACAGGCTGGGGGCTGCCAGCTCTCCATGTTGCTTTCCTGTTATCCACCCCCTTCCCAGAAGCAATAAATAAATAAGTTAGTTTGTAGTGTATGTAGACCCCAATGCTCAGTTCACAGTGAAAAAATGAAGGGGAAGAGCCCCTGTGACCTCAGGGAAAGGGCTGAGCAGCAATCTCTTGCTGCATGGATGAGATAGGGAGGTGTACTGAGCAAGGGGAGCAGGACTGCCCCCCAGGTACAAGAGGGGCATTAGTACCAAGTGTCTGGGAACAGGAGGGGACCCTGGGGTCCTTCCTAAGGCAGGGAAGGGGGGACAGGAACCTCCTCCCTCTCCCTCTGCATGAGGAGTGTACCACAGCAGGACAGCTAGGCTGCCCATCCTAGATCAGCTCACAACTTCCCTGCTAGCAACGTACCACAGTCAGGGTGGGGATTCAGGAGAAGGAATTCCCTCTGCCTTCAGCAGAAGCAGGAGATAGCTGGGCAGGGAAGAGGGAGAGACAGGGTACAGTACCACAGGCAAGGTCCACGTCATAGTGCAGCATCTCTCACTCCAGAGGACTCTGGCCCATCCTGCCCCTGCAGCCAGGGGCACAGCCAGTGGCTGCTCCCATCTCGCTCTGCAAGGCACTTTCACCCCCTCTCCCACGACTCGGAGGGCAGGGCTGCTCCCCACAGAGAAGGTGGGTGAGGATGGTCTGAGCTGCAGCACAGTCTGATCCCCTTCCATCTACAGTCATCTCCAGCTTCCAGAACTGACAGCCCTCGTGTTGGGCACGGGGTGTCCCCGATGTGTCCACAGCAGGTCCAGCTCCTCTTCAGCATTCCCTTTTGCCCGTGAGCTGGGCTGCACCAGTGCCTGCAGCCCACAAAACAAAGCCATTGTGCAGGAAGATATCCAACCCTGCATACAGTCTTCAAGGTGCATCCATCGTGCAGGTAACAGAAGAGATGCTGGAATATCCCTTTTTCACCACTGTGATCACCATGGGGCACACAGAGCCAGCCAGGCAAGAGTTAATAAATACCACCCAGCTGGCAGGCTGCAGCACTTGCACCATGCTGCCTTCTCAGCACTTTGGGGCCAAAATGGGGAGCAGAGGTGTTTCTTGAGGCCCCCTCTAGGCTCCAGTTGAGCATCTCCTTCCTCCAGCCTTGCCCAGCCAGGGGGCAAAAGGAGCAGCGTTAGTAAAGCGTCTGTGTTAAAAAACGGAAGTTCCTGGGATGGGGGTGACGTATCTACAGGGAATAACCCTGTCCTGTGCAAGGGAGAGGGAGACCACAACAGGGGGCTGGAGGGAGCCCAAGATCTCATTTTGCAGCCCAAAACAGGAGTCTGTATCCAGTCACCAGCCTCCGAGAGCTGCTGCCAACTCTGGCTCTGCACCGTGGGGGTCTCTGTCTTCCCCCAGTCCCCTTCACTTCCAGCTGCCAGTCTCAGGTCTGCTCTGCTGCTGCAACCGCTGGCACTGCCACTGCCCCCTCCTCCTTGGCAGGGGGCTCCATGTAGATTGGAGTCACTGATGAGGGTTTCTTGGACCTGCAGGTGAGGGAGCTGGATGGGAGCAGGTAGGGGTGGCGGTCTCCCTCAGGACCCCAATTCCCAACAGCACTGCCTGGCATGATCTCCTTCCCACAGGGACATCCTCCAGCCCTGGGAATGTATCCTGTCCCCCCTCCCACCACACAGACTAAGAAGGGGGGTTGATGTCCCGCCAGGATTGGGCTGGGACAGGAGTGGATGATGCACTGTGCCAGGCAGGGGACAGTGCCACGAAGATGGGGGATTACTCAAATTGTTGTGTCCCTGATACTCACGAGTAGGGGGAGGCAGGGACCCCCACCACAAGGAAGTGGTTCTTCTTGCGGAAGAGCCGCCACAGCCCCTTGTGGTTCCCACGGACGTCCAGGTCCCAGATGTGGAGGCACTAGGATGGTGGGGTGGGAGGAAGAGGAATCAGAGCCTGGGGACAGACACCAGGGCCAGGCATCCCCTGGCATAGGAAGAGCCACCACCCCTGCCCTCACCAAGGCAGTGCAAAGAGGGCAGCATCCCCCTCCAGCCACACCGAGAGCTTTAACATCACCCAGGGACAGCAAGAACCCACTTGTTGAGCTGCATCGATGCCATGGGCAATCCCAAGAATGACAGCCATGTGTTTCCTGGTGATGCAGAGATCAGTGCAGGCCTGAGGACAGGCCATGTCAGGGGCCTCACCTTGGCAAGCTGAGTCCAGGTGGTGAAATCTGCTTCCTGCTCCATCCTGATGAACATGACGTAGACCTTGCCCTCCGTGTCGGGCACAAAGGAGTCCTCGCAGGGATTCTTGCTGTGGTCCAAGACCTCAGCCTCACTGTGGAAACAGAACAGGGAGTGAGAGGGGACCCCACCTCCACCCTATTCCCACGGCAGAGTACTTCAGACAGGCACCAGGGCTACCAGGGCCACCTCCACCCTTCCTCCTGTCCTGGTTGGTTCACCCACTATGCCCTGTGGCCTCCTGACCTTCCTGTAGGCACTTACCCCAGGAGCCGATGAATTTCAGTCTCATAGGCATCCTTCCTCAAGCTGTGGAAGGAGGAGAGAACACAGAGATCAGGGCAGAGTCAGGCACTTTGATAAGCAGGGAACACCCAAAATGATCCAAATTTAAGACTGCCCCAGTGTAATACTAAAGGTAGGTTGGAACAAACAAATGGAGAGCAGTGACTGCCACACATCCTGGCAATGTGGCAGCAAAAACATGACCCTTCAACATATCCACCTGAAGCACAGGGAAGCCAAACCCAACCTTGCATAAACCAGTGCCAGGATTCCCCAGCAGAGGCCAGTGTGCTGATGCAGGAGGTTATGGCTGTTCCAGAAGGAAGGGAGACAAGTCCAGCACAAGGAGACAAGGGTCAGGTTAAGCAACTGTTTCATCCAGATCTCATTCATTCTGACCAGCACTCACCTCTCCACATTTTTAAGCTGGACATTTGGAACTGTGTTGAACTTGTGCTTCTTGAAATAGGCTTCCTGGGAGGAAGAGAGAAGGGAGGGAAGGAAGACCGCGTTTGATCGCGAGTGGGCAGTACTTGGGGATGACCTCAAGCATCCCCACTATCTGGGAAGGTGTCTGAGTCAGAGATCAGCACCAGGACAGGGCTTGGGGACTGCAGGAGGTCACTCACGTGGAAGTAGCCGTTCATGTTGAGCCCCACGATGCCGAAGTGGTAGGAGCGTGAGATGTCGGGGATGATGCACTCCCGGCCCTTCCGCTGCTCGGGCATCCGCATCCACATGTCCCAGTCCCAGAGCTGGGGAGAGGAAACTGCCACTCACACTCAAGTTTGGGGACATGATTAGGTAGTATGGCCATGCAGGGAGCTTTCTGGGTACCCACACCAAGTCCAGCCCCTTTGGCCCCCGCCTCTCTGGGCTGCTCCAGCCAGCTCTGTGGCTGGTTATGAGCACCCAGAGTGTCCCAAATCCATTCTGCTTGGGCATCCTTCCCAGTTCAAGCACAAGGATAGCCCCTCCAAGAGCTGTGCACACAGGGACTGGGTGAAGGTCAGGGCCTGCTGATGGGCAGAGACGGGGTGCAGAAGTCAGGGTCCCTTAGAGTACTCACCTTCTCAGGGGTTGGCCACTTTGGCTCCAGCTCATCCTTGTACAGGTTCTTCCGGAGCACCCACCCCAGGCCTGGCATGGTCTCCACACGATACAGGAGTGAGGGGTCCTCAGCTGTGTGCTCATAGCCCTGTAATGTTATGGAGATTGTTTAGCACCCTGAATGTGCCCCTACCCCACCAAAAAGGGAGATATTGTGCTCCACTGAGAACCTCAGTAGAGACAGAGAAGAAGGGACCAGTCAGTGGGAAGCACATGGCAGGGACAGGATGGTGATTTGCTGGGGCACCTTTTTCAAGAGTCCAGGGCTGGGGAGACAGACCCACTTAGGATGCCCTGCTTTAAAGATGGAACCTGGACCCCAGACTGACATGGGAACAACACAGGGCAGAGGTGGCCCTGTTCCATCATCCTTCCCTGACTCACCTGGTCATTCCATGCTGAGATGCAGTACAGGCTCTCGTCCTCCTCCAGAAGGTGTATTGATTGGCTCAGAAAGCTGAGGAAAGAGTTGAACAGTCCGTAGTCAAACATCCTTCTACCATGTAAAACAAGGCAAACTCTCCACCAAGGGATGAGCCACCCCCAACTGCTGGGACTACTTATCCCAACTGGTGGGGAGGAACACCTGAAAACAAGTTAAGCTGCGTCTCCTCATGGGGATGGGACAACATTGTCTCCTGCTCAGTCTCTCCTCCTTAGGGAAAAACAGGAGCCCTGTTAGACACTGCCCCTGTCCTCTTGCTATGGGGCAGCCCCAACCATGTATGCACAGAAAGGATCAGTGTCCCCAAAAAGCAAACCAGGAAGAGATCCCTGACCCTGAAGTCACTCTGCACTGAGTGCCAGGACAGTGGACTCAAGACTCTATGGGCAGAGCTCAGTTAGGCTGTTGCCTGGGGACTGCTCAGCCTCAGATAAGTGAGCTACAGCATGGCAGAGATCTGGCCTCTCCTGAGCAGCCAGAGAGCTCCAGGAAATGGTCTGCCTACACAGAAACCCACAACTTTACCTGAAGAAGTCAACGGAAATGTCAAGATCTTCCTCCAGAACCACAGCAAATTTAGCTTCCTGTAGGGCAAAGAGAATGTCAGAAGGATGGAGACAAACAGGACAGAGCAGAGATAGACAGTGTCCCCTGCCTGTGCTGTTCCCTGCCCCTGAGGACTGATTCCAGCTCCCATGAGAGGGGATCACAGATGCCAGGGACACCCTGCGCTGTAGCAGTCACACTCACCGGGAACAGGTTGAAGGTTGCAGTCAGACTGGCTTTGTAGTGCTACAAGAAAAGACATCCATTGCCTGTGTTAGCATCAGCCTGGCACAGATCTGGGCCTAAGCCTGCCTCCTCAAATGCTATCCCAGGTCCCTGGAAATAACTGTCCCAGGATTTGGAAAAAGCTCTCTCACCTGGGAAACTCTAGCATTTTTAATGCTGATGGGAGTGTGCTGTATTCCTGAGAGGCCAAACAGCTCCACGACATCCATTGGCTCCTGCAATGGGAAAGTACAAAGCTCATCAAACATGTGGGTCATTCTCCCCACCCTCTGCCAGTGTCAGGTCCCCAGGACAAGAATATCCTTGCACATGGCTGTCTTCTTGGGGCAAGTGAGGCTCAAAATGATGCTGTGCTGTAGACCCTGCAGCACAGAACTCACCAAACCCTCCTGGCCCTGCAGCTCTTGGGTATCGCCATGAGTTTCTGTTACCTCTGATAGTTTGCAGACCCAAAGTTGTATCCAAGAATACCAAATTCCCAGTCCCCCATGGACAGTGCAGAAAGAAAACAGGTATAGCCAGGAACACCTAGTAGCTGCTTAATGGCAAGACCACTATCAACTCAATTTTCTCTCACAGTTGCCAAGAAAAAACCCTTCTGACCAAGCACATCTGCACTGGGGCCAGAAGTAACTTATATTTGGGCTGACATATCTCTGCCCCAAGAAGGACCCACCAAGGCCTTCTCCATCCCCTTACTGTGCATCCCATCTCCAAGCCACAAAAGAGAGGAACTCCCATTGTACCAGTCAGTACCAACCCCCTTTCCCTGGTATCCACCATGGCAGCATGAACATCCAGGCTGCCCCCTCGTAGCTGAGGGATGCTGCTCCAGTTGCCATGGCAATAGATGCTGCTATCTTTAACCACTCTGATGTGGTACAGCAAGAGTCTGCATAAACAAACCAGCTCCCCCAGCCCCACAACCTGGCAGTGGTGGGAGAGGCCTGTAAGGGAACAAGCCTGTTCCCTTCCCTGTCTCCATCACAAGGCAACCAGGCAGTAACTCACCAGATGTTGCAGAGAGGAGGCCTAGCAAGCTCCTGAGACCTACTAAGACCCTACATGCCTGTCCTAGACTTCATTTCACTGCAAGAGAGCCAAGACTTGCAGTAGAATTCTCCAGGGCTTTATAAGGTTGAGCTGAGAGGAAGGTCTTTCCCTCTAAAGGGCCAGTTCTCCTCCACCTAGCCCCATCTTTCATGAGCCCCCAGCTTTGAGCCTTATGAGAACACACTGGTTTGGGCCTCTTCACTTCTTACTGAGAGTGGAGCTGGACAGGCATGGTTGGACTGGTTTGTTCCTCTTCACACGAGGGAGCTGGACAGGTGGTGTTACATCCAGACCCTGCCCAAGGGGCTGACGATGCTCATCAACTGAGAAAAGAGGACGGGGAGAGCCCAGCATGACCACCTCACCTCATTCCTGCACAGTAACCCCTTTCTGACATGGAGACATCAACTCTGGGCTCTGGGCAAGGCCAAGGCAGCTTTATCCACAGGCATGGCTTGGCTAAGTTGACTTTGCTAAGAGCGGGTGAGGAGCAGTGTGACACACAGCAGCAGCAAGGCTGACGGGGTTCATAACCTGCCACCCACCAAGGACTGGGCCAGAACCTCATACTCTCAGCTGGGGGACGATGGAGCTGGCTACATGGATCTCTGGGAATGCTCTCACCTCATAGTAGCCATCGATGAAGACTGTGATCATCTGTGGATTGACGCCCTGAGCCGACAGCAAGGAACGCAGCATCCTGGGGAGAGAGGGAGGGGCCTGAGAGCAGCACAGCCCCGGTGGGCACAGGCCCTTCAGCAGAGGGGTATGGATCCCTTGGGATGGGGGAAAGTGTGCATGATTAGGGAACAGGACCTATTGCCCTTGGGCTCTTCACTTTCCCATGGCCAAGGACCCAGGGAACTGCCCAAGCAGGTTGGCCCATGCTGCTCATGCAACCCCAGGAGGCGGCTGGATCCTGCCAGCAGGAGAAAGGGAAGGGCCTGGGCCATGCCTGGTCTTGTAGTGCAGAGCAGAGGAGCCCCCTGGAAGTGCTTACCTGTACAGGTAGTTGGGCCGGTTCCCTGCAATAACAGCTACAGGCACATCAAAGACTTTATTGTCTTTGAGCTGGAAGAGAACAATGTGTGTGAGTGGGGTGGGAGAGGCTATGCCAACCACAACGATCCTATGATTTTATGGCAGGTTCCAAGGGATAGGGACCTGCTGCTAAAACAGCAGAGCTGCATAGTCCTATCCTTTAGTGCAGGACCACACCAACCAACCAGGACACCGCTCAGCACTGCTGGAGATCCTGCCAGCTTCTCTCCTTCACCCCACCTCTGCCCCAGCTCCCAAATCAGAGTCTGCATCCACTCAGAGACCTTTGTCTGAACCCTTCAGCACTGGGCCAAGGACAGTCCAAAGGCCACAATAGCTGCTCCATCTCCAAAAGTACAAATTCTGCTGCTTACATTGGTGTCCCCAGAGCCAGCGTAAGCTGGGGGCTCAGGGCAAGGGAACTCCCTTTCCCCAGTATCACCTGCCCCCATGTATCCACTTTACCTTTGCCAAGGCTCTGGGTTTGCCCAGGGGCAGTTTGGAATACTCAGCTGGTGCTTAAGAGCAGGGCTCTGCACCTGAGCTGCAAAACACGCCTGGTCCGGCCCAGCCCTCCCTCCTGGAGCTTTCCCTGAACACTCTGCCCCGGCACTCACGGGATCAGGGTTGAACTCGATGGGTGTGGGGTCTTTGCAGCTGCAGACGCTGCCATAACCTTCTACTTTGCTGCAGAACCTCTTCCGGCGCCGGTTCAGCTCCGTGTCGGGCCAATGGCACTCAGCATCTGGAAGCACCGAGGAGCAAACACAGACCTGTCATCCCCAGGGCCTCACCTTGTGTGCTCCAGGCTGCACTACCACACACAGGGCTGTCCCTGGGCTCAGCCACCACCGAGCCAGTCCTTGGTACCAGGAACAATCAACACTTCTGGGTGTTGGATACAACCACAGGAGCCATTCAGAGCCCAATCCCACCTATGGCCTCTCTGAGCAGCAATGGGCTGTTCAAGGCCAACAGTCAGAAAAGACCAGACCAGGTCTGGTTTGGACAGGTGACAAATGTCCAGACCACATTCCCACTTCTCCGTCCTCACCCTTCTCAACAATCACACATGGAATTGCCAGGAAGGCAGGCAGGAGGGAAGCTGTGTCCATTTTTAAAGTTACCACCACCATCTCAAACAGCCTTAAATCCATCCTGGGATTTTGCTAACAGACCCATGGCTTTGACTTAAAACCAGGGAGCAGGCAGACATCTCCCAGAGATACCACAGAGCAGACTGCACTTCCTACCTTCCACGGATGTCAGGTGAACTTCTGTCTTCAGCAGGACGGGGTCACCCCACGTCGAGAGGGCAGGTGACTTGGCGTGCTTCTCCCCGTACACTTCCCCTGGAGCAGGGACACAGGGTCAGGACTGTCTGGAAGGGTCCATCAAAGCATGACCAGAGGCTGGGTGGCAGCTTGGCACCTTGTCCCATTGGCCTCTGGCAAATTGCTGAAGGAACACTTCCATACCCTCCCGACCCCCAGGAATGGAGCTGCCACTCTCTGTGACTTGCTCATACAGCATGCTGGGGACAGGCTGGGTTTGTCTTCACCTGGTTTCTCCCAAAAAAAGGAGCCACAAACCCTCTCCCAGCCTGTGCAAGACTCACCTCCCTTCTTCCCCACAAATGTCCACATGTCTCTCCAGCTCAGGAATGGCGCAACTTGGCTCCCCAGGCTTTTCAGGACACTCTTGGCTGTGTCCTTGAGGTGAAAGGAGCCTTCATCCTGCAAAAAAACACAACCCTGCTTCTGAGGTGTGGCTCCTGACAAGGAAAGTCTTCCATCAATAACAAAGAAGTAGAGGGCCCACTCCTACCTTCAACCAGTTGATCCTGAAACCTTCAATGTCTCTGTGCCACTAAAGCTGCTGGTGGCTTCATCATGACCCACAGAGAGGTCAGAGGAGTCATGGACTCCTGTTTCCTTGAGACCAAAATGTTCTCAAGCAGGGCCTTCATGTTAAGCAACACTTCACACAGCTAAACCTGGAACCCTGAAGCAGCACAGTGCTGTCACACAGCAGCCCAGAGCCAGCACAGTCCACAAGACCTCTGTAAAGCCTGGAACTGGGAGACAAAAGGATCCCACCACATCCTGGTATTTCCTCATGTCCGTTCTCCACCTAACTCCTTGCTTATTGCTGCAGGCTCTGACACATCTGCTTTTTGCCCTCCTGCTTTGCAGGACACACAGCAGTAGCTGCAGCAACAAGGGAGGGCAAGAGGGCAAGGGAGGTGATCCAGCCAGGGAGTCGCAGCCCTGCAGGGATGTGACATTTAGCACTGGGAATGCTTGGTGACATTCAGAAGGCTACTGCCCAGATGAGCTTCAGGGCATCCTGACTCAAGATGACTTTTCCTTTTGACATGAGGGTCACATACCTTAATGGTGAAGATCAGGATTCGGCCCCGGGCAACCATGTTGAGGAAAAGTACCATGGCTTCATCTTCATGGGGAGAGTAGGTGTCAAAGACCCTCTTGGCCATCACATGACCCTATTGGTATTTAAACATCAGATGCATCTTAAATACCACATGGTACCGACACACAGAATTATGGAAATCTGCCCTGGAAGCCTCATTCCTTGAGCAACACAAGGAGTGGCTTTTCCGGTCTGCCAGGGAGTTAATCCCCAGTCAAGTTCAACCCTCAGGCCTTTGGGACAGCATCACCCAACCTCACAACTCCTCCCCTGCCCGCTCCCCAGAGACAGCAGGCAGCACAAGGGAAACCCCACAGGGACAGTCTGGGTGACCGTGTCACACTCTGCAAACAACAGATAAAAAGCATTCGGGGACTTCCCTCCTCAGGCACCCAACATCAAGAGCAAGGACAAACTGCCCAGTCAGAAAGACAAATGCAGACACGTGGGGATGCTTTACCGTGGCCTGATTTAAGACGATGACGTGGATCCCTCTTCCCTGCTCCCGAGCCTCATCTTCCAGGACCTGCAAGTGGATTAAGTGATGAGAATCATATGCCAAGACCTCTTCTTATTAAATCATAGAATCATAGATTAGATTGGGTTGGAAAAGACCTCCAAGATCATCAAGTCCAACCCCTGATCCAACTCCAATTACTATATCATGGCACTAAGGGCCACGTCCAATCTCTTTTTAAAAACCTCCAGGGATGGTGAATCCACCACCTCTCTGGGTAGGCCGTTCCAATGCCTGATTACCCTCTCTGTAAAGAATTTTTGCCTGCCCATTTGGCACAGCAGAGCCCCCAAACAAGGGTCAAGTCTCTCTCCTGTGATGTTTTGGCTTTGCCCATGGCAGCGGTGGGTGCCAGAGCAGAAGACAACACAGGAGAATAATCCTGGAGTCCCAGAGGCAGGAGGGGGATCCACTCCTAACCTCCTTGCCACTGAGCTGCTCTCACCACTGCTGTTTGCAGCTTCACCTGTTCAGCTTTATTCACCCTCTGCACACAGCACTCCCATCCCTTACCGTTGTCCCATCCACAGCCACGTAGACCTTGGACCGGCTGGAATACACCTCGACATCCAGGACCTTCTTGTTGTTGACAGGGTGCCTGGGGACCTCCACATTCAGCATCTCATCATCTACAGCGGAGAAATGCCCAGTTTCAACCAGTCTTGCCCCTGCTCAGCCCAGCCAGGCCTCCAGAAGGTCATGCCCACCAGGCATCCCAGCCCAAGTAGCCATGGGAGGGATGGCAGGCACTGGGAAAACACAAAATGGCAACAGGTCTATCCCCACACAGATCCCTACAGCCAAATGTGCCAAAGCCTCCCGTAGACAGACTGGTAACGAGGACAAAGTTTTCTATTAATTTTTATTAAACCCACATGCACAGATCTATCTTTTGTGTTGTAGCTGGTCACAAATTAGCCCTCGCTTTAAGAAATTACTTTCCTCCCTCCAGTTTCCTTGCTTCCAAAGCACAACAGGATGCTGCCGCTCACCGTAGTCCTGTGCAGACTCCTCTTCCTCCTCATAAGCAGCTCTCCTGGTATCCAAGATCAGCTTGATGTTCACGATCACAGTCACAAGCAGGAAGAGGACAGCACCTGTCTGCAATGCAGGATGCTTTGTGTTAGCAATTTGTAAGTAACAACCCACTTTGGCAGGGGCTGCAGGGCACCCCAAGGAGATGTTGCAAGGCATCACAAGCATCTGTCAATTCCCCTGTTTTCTTCTGGGGAAAGCAAAGAGAAAAAAATACAGGTGACCGAGTTTTATGGTGAAAGGCATTCATCAGCTGGAGAGCACTACCTTCTAGTTATGTGAGAATTAACCCACTTCCAACATATCCCTGCTTCCAGATCTGTGAGCAGATTCCTATTAAAATATTACATCAAGTTTGAGGACCCCTGCAGGCAAAGAGTTTGGTAATTCAGAGATACAAGTCCCAGGATAACCTTAACTTCTGCCTCTCCTGCAGCATCACTACTGTCATCTGTCCCCCTGCAACGAGAGGATGCACTCCGGGTATTCAGAGGAGAGGAGATGCTGTGCAGCTAAAACAACCAAAGGGAAGAAGCTGAGGTCTGCTTTCAGGAAAGAGCACTGTACCATAGGCTGCAGAGAACAGCCCACAGCTTTACTATCTGCAGCAAACTCCAATGCAACCCACGTGGTTGCTGACACAGAGGGCTGTGGGAAAGTCCAGGGACTGTGGAACAGTTCATAAGAACCCCTGTTGTGACCATCACCATTGCCCATGGCCTTGCTGTTCTCAGACCAAGAGGAGGTGCAAAAGACTACACCACTTCTACAAGCACCTGTTTTTACTTAAATGCATCTTGCTCCTCTCTTCCTCAATGTCAGCCTTTTTCCTGGTATTTGGACCCAGTGTAAAGCAGAAACTGCTCCACCCTAACAGGGTCCTACCAACCTCCCTGGAGCATCCCAAGGCTCAGTATGGAGGTGTCACAGCAACCAAGAGAGAAGAGGGGAGAAGTTGGTGGAGGCTGCTCATAACTTGGTCCCCTGGCAAGGGGTGCTCAGTCGGGTTTTGGGTGGTTTTGAGACTCTTCCCTTGCCCCTCAGCCCCACAACAGCTTTCTTCCTAGAAATTTGTGCTTTTTCAGCTCTAGGACCCTTGATTCTCTGCAGTCTGGTGTGGGGTTGGGATCACACACAGGCCTGCCCTCGGTGAGAGGCACTAAAAGGATGCCTGCCTGTCCAGCTACTGCCTCAAAACTACATGTTGCTGCTCTCACTGCCAAGCAGCCAAACAGGTTCAAGGAGCAACTGGGGAAAATGGAAAACCAGCAATAACACAACACGATGATATAAATGTCACTATGGCATTTTGGCTTGTTAATTGGTTGTTGACTCAGGAGCATGAGCACCTTTTGGGATCTGTGCACAGAAAGCTTTTAATTAGGCAAGAACAGAGCTGTGGGCTTGCAGTGAGGCAGGAAGGCCACCTTCCTAACCTGCCCAGATCTTCACCCTGCTCAGTGCTGGGGATGTGAGGGAGCACCCCAGTGACCAGAGGGAATAAGTCAGCACTAAGCAAGACCAGCAGCCCGGTCTAGCAAGGCTGACCCAGTCAGAGCTGCTGATGGAGACTCAGATGCTGCAGACCTGGCTGCTCCATACCCGAATCCCCGGGTTTACCTATTCTAAGCCAAATTTTCATTTGTTTTTTAAGCCACAGCAGTGCCACAAAGGACAGAGATGACAGCAGGCAGGCCCTAGCCCGTTGCCCCAGCATAGTGAGCAAAATCTGCCTGAATGACAAGACCCATTCCCAAGCCTTGAACATCCCATCAGACACAGAACTGAGCAATCTCCTTCCCCAGCCTTCATCCTCCCAGGCACATGCAAAACCCTCCCCTGCTCCCTCCCACAGCAACCAACTGCCAGATTTTATGAGCTTCTCTCAGGAAAGGCACCTTTTCTGCTGTTTGCTGCCATGGGGCCAAACCATTCCTTACACCCCCAGACACCCTCTAGGACGCTGTCTCTGCCAAGGATTAGCACAAGCAACCAAGCCTGCAGCTTTCCCAGACGCCAGCTGCCTCTGGGGCATGAGATCCTGTTACAAAGCCCTATTTTCTCTGTCCACCTGTCGTGCCCTACACCAGGCTTGGTTTGCAAACCAAACAGGCAAGAATGGTTTCCCTCTACAGGCTGAGCCCTGCAGCACTGGGTCCAGAGCCAGGAGGGGAGGAATCAGCCAGGTTTCTAGCTGAAAGACTCCCAAGGCCACCTGGATAATTGTGTCTCCTCCCATAGCCACTCAACAGGTCCCTTTACAGCTGAAAGGAGGTGCCAGACACGGCAGGTCCTTCCACACAAAGGCACTGGAGGGAGCAAGCTGGGGAGCAAGCTACACTTCCCCAGCATGTCAGGTCACCCAAACAGGCAAGAATGGTTTCCCTCTACAGGCTGAGCCCTGCAGCACTGGGTCCAGAGCCAGGAGGGGAGGAATCAGCCACGTTTCTAGCTGAAAGACTCCCAGGGCCACCTGGATAACTGTGTCTCCTCCCATAGCCACTCAACAGGTCCCTTTGCAGCTGAAAGGAGGTGCCAGACACGGCAGGCCCTTCCACACAAAGGCCCTGGAGGGAGCAAGTTGGGGAGCAAGCTACGCTTCCCCAGCATGTCAGGTCACCCACACTGCCAGCAGACCCACTTCCAGCCATGGAGCTGCTCCATAAATTCGTAAATCCCATGGATTATCCCTCCTAATCCCCTGCAGGGCTGCGGGTGACTCACCTGGCACAG